ATGTAAGAATTACCTTCTGCTAGATTGAATATCATAACATTGTTCATTCTTTTTTGTCTCTCGTATATTTCATTTATGACTGTTTCTTCGGAAAAAGATGTACATGTTTCTTTGTGAATTTTTGATTTCAGTTCTTCAACCTCAGAAAGCAACTCATCAATCTTCTTGATTAAATTGGGCACTAATCTTACCCCTGTGAGACATTTCAGCAGGAAAATGTTTGTCGGCAAGATGTATTGCTTCTTATGACATTAAACATATATCTGAATAAAAATTCAATAGACGTATTTATAGTATATTTCTGGTCACTATATGATCTATTTCGTATTGTCCTGTTAATATATTCATCAGGTGGTTCATTGCATCCGAAAATAAGTAGATTAGTGGTTTTGCTTAGCCCTGGGGTTTGTTTTAAAGTAAGATTTTGGCTTGCATTATTGCTTGTTTTCAGTATTGAAGACGACTATTACATAATCTTGGGAACCATAATGTGTAGTATTTAAAAGAAACATTCTTCGTTAAGTCTGCGATTTTACTATTGGGATTTATAATTTCTTCTATAGAATATATTCCTGTGTCAACAAACATGCTTAGTGCACTAGAAAGTTATTTGAATATTCGTCGCCTAGGATGAATATTTTCTTCAAGTCTAAGTTCGTATTATCGTTGGCTTTCTTTGGTTTGTCATTACCGTTGTTTTCCTCACCTTTGTCTTTGCATTTAGTTAATTTTCTTTCACTGAGTCTAAAACACTTTATTCTGTTCGAATTTTAATATTTAATACAAATAAAAATTAAAATGTTGGAAATTTTGTTTTAAAAAGAAATATAATGAAGAAATGTGTTTCATTAATTGTTATTGTTATTCTAGACGATTGCAGAAATAATAGCGTGCGGAAATCAAAGATTTTTTGGCGAAATGCTTATCAAATGGTAATATTGTCAATGCTATTTTTTGAGTTTCGTTGGTATTAATAATTCTAGTTGAGATACCTATTCTGGTTGGATCACTAATCGAATATTTTCATGCCAAGTATTTTATATTCGCCTTCTGTATTATTTTNATGGTAATTTAGAGATATAGAGGCATAGAAGTATACAGGAGAGTACACACAGATTGGTAGTTTGAAATTCACTAGTCCTCAAAGATATTTTTCTATTTATCATTCAGTGGCTTCATCAAAGAATTATATCATTTGATGAAAGTATGGTCAAAAATTAAATATTGTCCATAGTAAGTTAAAATGAAGCTTGTTTCACGGAATATGTAGTTTAGAAGATGACACAGAAATGTTATAACAATATTAATTGTATGTAAATAAATAAACATAGTTACTAATTTCAAGAAGTATTTTTGATCAAATACCCAAATGCATACCACTGCAAGTAATAAAACGACCCATAGAATCATGAAATTAATATTAATGTTTGCGACCCATTTACGACAGGAAAATAAGGTGGGCCTGGTAAAGTATTACAAACCGCCCTATACCAGCTGCGGAAAATCATAACGAAATCACAAAATTTTGTTTCAGCCTTCTGGAAACAGTTTGCATTTATTTACTACGTTTTACTATTAGGAAACAGAGTATGGATACTTTCAATGTCTACCATTGAGATTATATTTTCGATTTCAATAAAGCCCTTGATGTAAAAAGGTATGTTTCGATACTGAGAAACAGATGAGCAAAGTCTAAGAAAGTTCTAAGGAAAGTATTCCTGAATATAGATAGAAGCAAATACCAACCTAATCTAAATTCTAATAGATAAAACTAATAGTTGAATTTGAAATGAATGTGAAAATCATCCTTGAATTTTCTGAATAGAAATTTTTTGTTTGAATATAGAAATATTTCATTGATATTCTTGGGTGAAAATTGCATCATTTTAAAACTCAATTACGGAATACTGTTTTAATGTATAGGTTAAGGTTTATGTTTTATTGACGCTCATTGTCTTTTGTCGTTTTATACTCTAAATAACATAAATTAACCCCTTTTAAGCTATTCTGAGTTGCAATCTGTATTTCATTACCCTATTTGATTTTATTGTAATTATAATTTAACATTGTAATTTACTTTGAATGTCCTGTAAATAAATAAATAAATAATGTTGAGTTCATATAATTTTTTTCTATTAGGTACCTACCTGTTTTTTGTTGCTAAAACATGTCTTGAAGAAATACCTGTTATTCTTCTAATATATCTATCGAACACTTTTTCATACTAGAGTAAAAATAATGTCTCTCGACACACTTTTCGCTAACAAAGTTAGCATCATCAGATGACTAAATGAGTCTAATTGTGGTTTACTTACTGATCAACTGCAATTTCAACATCTTGTTTGATGATGTTTTTTAAATCAGCAGTTCTTGTTGAAAGAAGAATATTTTTATTAATAATAGTGGGTGGAGAGTTTTGATGTAATATTTTTATCTTCAAAGAAGCTAATCCAGATTCTTCAAATGCATTTTTCTGTTTTAAATTGTCCAGTGATTTTTTTTGTAATAACTTAATCGTCTCGTAACAAATTTCGAAAGGAATTTTCAGTTGTTCACTATAATCTCCTGACAAATTCTGAAAAATTTGTGTGTTTATACAACCTTAAATAAAAATTTAGAAAATACCTTCAAAGCATTATCTGAAGATGATTCGGAAGAATACGGCGGTAACCATAATTTGATGCTATCTTTACGTAACTTATCCCTAATTTGGATAATACAATCCTCTTTTTCGAGGTATCCATCCATATTCAGATTTTGTTGACGAAAAATTACTAAAAACTAACCACTTCTTATTTATTTTCATGAACAAAAACTGCTGATCTTTGTTTACTTTACTCATCTGTGATCATATAATACAAGTACAGATGCGAAAGCTTTGATGCCGCCTTTGATGTTCGATGGCTCAAAATTCGTAACCTTGAATATGATGTGTATACCACCTCAATATACACGAAGAAAAAGGTTTGATTGATTTCAACGATTTCCTCTTAATGTACACTGAAAAAACATGCTTTCGCTATTCACAGAAAAAGTGATGTATTTTGTTATACATTATAATGAAATAAAGAAACTCGCATATTGACAAATTTGATTACAGAGATAAGTAGAAATCATCAATTAAGTTCAATAGTGAAATTTGATGAAAATTAGGAATATTTTTAATCATTTGTATGTTACAAAAATTACACTTCTTTTTGGTTTAGATAAGTTTAATTCATAGATAAACGAACAATACAAATAGCAAGCAGACTACCTTGTCACTCAATAACTGGTAAACATAAACATAGATTTTCCTAAATTATCATCATGTATTCTTCTAAAATAAGAGACTTCTTATTTGAAGACTTATTTCAAAAATCGAACAATCCGATTTGTTTATTCATTACATTCAATTAATTCAAATAATAAAGCATAGTTAAAAAATAAAATTCCAGATGTGCTCCCTGTACATTGCGTCATTCATAGGCAACATTTGGTTGCGAAAAATATGAGTGAGCGCCTCTCTTAATCACTGCAATATATCATCAAACCAGTCGATAAAATCCGAAACAGCTCTTTAAATGACAGATTATTTAATCAGCTTTGTGTTGCTAATGATGAAGATTTCAACCTATTGCTATTTCACACAGAAGTGCGTTAGTTATCAAAAGGTAACTGTCTGACTCGATTTTACAATCTATTTGACTCTGTAATAGAGTTCTTGGAAAACAAAGACAATGATGAAGATTTCAACCTATTGCTATTTCACACAGAAGTGCGTAACTGTCTGATTCGATTTTACAATATATTTGTGGAATTGGCCGCGGTGGTAGTGCGCCCGACTCACGATCGCAAGGCCTTGGGTTCGATTCCCGCCTCGACCAGATATTTTTCTCGAGAGAATTTATCTGGTTGAAGCTGGGATGATTCTGCAACCGTGTTAGGAATCACACGTTAAAAGGTAAGACCTCGTTAGTTCTTAGCTCGCACAAGTTTCTCAACTTCTGAGAGTGTTCGTTCGTATGGGGGCGACAGCTGATTAACGGAAAAACATATTTTAAACAGATTTGACTATGTAATAGAGTTCTTGGAAAACAAAGACAATGATGAAGATTTCAACCTATTGCTATTTCACACAGAAGTGCGTAACTGTCTGATTCGATTTTACAATATATTTGTGGAATTGGCCGCGGTGGTAGTGCACCCGACTCACGATCGCAAGGCCTTGGGTTCGATTCCCGTCTCGACCAGATATTTTTCTCGAGAGAATTCATCTGGTTGAAGCTGGGATGATTCTGCAACCGTGTTAGGAATCACACGTCAAAAGGTAAGACCTCGTTAGTTCTTAGCTTGCACAAGTTTCTCAACTTCTGAGTGTATCACTTATGTCTCGCTTGCGTTTACGCAGTTATTTCTATTAAGTACTTTTTTTGGTTTTTCGCATTTTGTCTTCAGTCGAGGACCGCCTGAAGAAAACTATCAAAATCACCACGGAGGCAGCTATAGCTACCTGCTATATTTTGTGAACATAAGATCTATCAACTGAAACCACAAATGTGCGATTGGCTCCTGTTGGTGGATCCGTGCATTAGTATTTCTATCTTTTGGTAACCAAGTGTTGCCCATCCTTACATTTGGCTTCACCATACTGATGATGTGCCAAAAACCCGAAACACATGTCTATGTCCGATTATTAACTTGTTTTTGTATATATACAGGGCTTTTCATGATGAGCGTTAATTAGCCGTTTCTGGCAAACTATTCTACGGATCAACCTGAAAATTCCACAGTATGCATAAGTCAATATGACCTACACGCCTAAAATATTTTAGACG